CTTACATGCCAAAATTTCTACATTGTGGCAACAATGGAGCCATTTTTCTACAATGCCAGACGATGGAGAGATTCTGATGGTGTGTAAACATATCTGGACTGTTAGAAACAAATAACATATCCCCCTGCCGCCACCATCACCCAAAATTCTAGATATCTGGGCTCTGTTTGCATCAGTGTGCTCCGATTGGTCTTCTCTAAACAGTACTAAGTTTATTAAGGTAAAAACATCTAAAAAGAAAATTGCTCCAAGGGTTTTGTGCACTATATACCAAAGGATACACTGACGTCTCCAAGTTATATTACTCAGGTGTTCCAGTTACTTCCATGGCCTTGGTTGTATCGAAAGCGCAGAATCTAGACATGCTTTTTAAACATTTGATAATGAAGCTCAGGGGGTAGTCTTTCAGGATGCCCGCTATGCAAAAGTTAAGTTGTGAAACTTATTCCAACTTTTAATATTCTTCTACCAAAGTGGAAGTATCTACAGGAGCGACAGCATCTAAGCCACACAGTTGTAGTGAAGCTTCATATCCGAATGGACCCTGAGGTGAATGATTGATAGAGGTCACCAATTTTCTACAGAGTTACAATCATAAGATCCATCCATGGTTTCTACCATGGATCAGACTGAACTCTATAGTAATAGGAAGGTTCTGAGCTGATCTAGATCTGATAGAGATCCACTGGGGTCAAACATATTGAAATAAAACCCTTCAAGTATCTCATATTTGAAAGTGGGTAGTGGGGCACACTCCAAGCAGAGTCTCTCTCAAATGATTTCAGCCAAAAGAGGACACAGTAGTTACGACAGGCGTATCAGAGGAATTTAGAGCAAAACAAATCTTTGGGTTTATAGTGGAAAATAGATGTTCACCAAAAGCAGTGGCAATCAGCAAACAGTGCTAGGATAACAGAACAAAAGAAAGTTCAAAGTAATTACCTCCTCCTCTGGGAGAAAAATTTGATAGTAAGAAAAGAAAATTTGGGCCTAAAAGACTCAATAAAGAAGTACGGTAGATAAAATTCTGAAGCATCATTAGTTTAAGCTTTTTGTCCAACTTTTTCTTTCCCTGCCAGGCAACAGTGGTGTTGGATGCAGGAGTTTTCCCTTCAACTGAAGGGTTGTCAGTTTGAACCTCTGGCTTCAAATGTCATTGGGTCCTTGGGCAAGACACCTCACCTGGACTACCTGCTAATGGTGGTCAGGAGGGCTGCTGGCGCCTCGTTTCTGTCAGTGAGCACCATGGCAGCTGTGGCTACAGTGTAGCTTGTCACCATCAGGGTTTTAGTTCCTGCATCAATGGGTGATTGACTGTGTGTCATGTGAAGCGTTTTGGTCAAGTTCCATGACATAAAAAAAGTGCTATATAAGAACAGACAATGAAACATTTGATGTCACTTTAGAACACATTTTTCTGTGTAATTTTTTTTATATTCTGTTCAGGTGCAGAACTTTAAAATGTGTTGTTAATGTGCTATAAAANGTAGATAAAATTCTGAAGCATCATTAGTTTAAGCTTTTTGTCCAACTTTTTCTTTCCCTGCCAGGCAACAGTGGTGTTGGATGCAGGAGTTTTCCCTTCAACTGAAGGGTTGTCAGTTTGAACCTCTGGCTTCAAATGTCATTGTGTCCTTGGGCAAGACACCTCACCTGGACTGCCTGCTAATGGTGGTCAGAAGGCCTGCTGGCGCCTCGTTTCTGTCAGTGAGCACCATGGCAGCTGTGGCTACAGTGTAGCTTGTCACCATCAGGGTTTTAGTTCCTGCATCAATGGGTGATTGACTGTGTGTCATGTGAAGCGTTTTGGTCAAGTTCCATGACATAAAAAAAGTGCTATATAAGAACAGACAATGAAACATTTGATGTCACTTTAGAACACATTTTTCTGTGTAATTTTTTTTATATTCTGTTCAGGTGCAGAACTTTAAAATGTGTTGTTAATGTGCTATAAAATTAAAAACTCATATAACCAAGATGTAGTAGATTTCACTGAGCTATAAAAAATTTTTCGTTATGTTTTGTTTAATGAGTGAAGAAAGATTTATTTTTATTTTATTTAAGCAAAATAAAATATCTCATTTTTTAAGTGAAAATGTACTTTTGTAAAGTTATAAACAAATATTCATGATTACAATGCTCCAATCTTCCCATGAAGACAATGAAAAAGGTTTCTGAAACAGTTTCTACCAATATTTTCTAAGATATTTCTTAGTATTTGTCCTTTGCTATTTTTTTCTTTATTCTCTAACTCCTCAGCTGTCCAGAAGTTGTACAAAGGTCTTTTAACTTCAAGAATATGTATTAGAAATATAAGATAAAAAGGTTTTAGAGCTCACCATCAATACTTTCCAGAGATAAATGGTCCACAAATGCAACATCACCTGCACCTCTTCGGAGACATCTGTACTAAACCAACAAAGAAACAAAAACCTAATATGTCTAAGGCTCCATTTTTATGTTAAATTGTTATGTAATGTGGTGGGTTGTAGGGGCTCTCTCTTGTGGCTGACCTGAGGGCTCCCTGGTTGTTGTAGAAGGGCTCATTGTGTGACGTCTCACAAAGGAAATTCTTCTGGCGTACATAGGACCTTTGGCCTTGGCACAGAGTAAACAGATGTGGCGCCATAGTGGCAGCTCCAGGAACACAGCTAGCTCTGAAAAAAGAACCAACATCTAACAGAGAGACAAAAAGAAAATACAAGTCTGATCAGAACCTTAAAAATGTGTTTCTACTCCGTTTCAAATCAAAATGTCCTAATTTTATTATTTAGATTCCCTTCTTTCAATTAATAAAAAAATCAGCAGTTGGATGATTATTTTATGGACAAATGAATAACAGATGAATTGAGTCAAATGAATAGATGGGCATATGGATGGAATGAAAGACTACCAGATGAACAGATGAATGAGTGGAGATGTGGATGAATAGATGTTTCCAAACTGCAGAGGAACCCCATCATGAGAACCATGAAGTTCTATCCTCACCCAGGCTGAGAGGATTCTCTTTGCTCCAGCTTAGATAGTTCCTGGATAGTAGAAACCCGAGTGGGAGGCTCCATCCTGTGGTCCAACGAGCCCCGCTATGACAGCTCCTGAGGCCTTGCAGTGACCGTATGTCTAAGCTCCTGTTTGTTACCACAGCAACAGATAGGATGCAGCTACCTGTAGAAAGTCCAGCAAATAACCAAACTTTTCAGACCTCAGTCAGAGAAAGGGGACGCTATAGAACACGTTAGGAGGGTAAACAAACCCTACCATCATTGTAGACCTCCTTAGCAATAGCAACAAGATCAAACTGCTTCACAGCAGAATAAACCTCTCCTGCATCCAATGCCACTATATCTGCACGGTTAGCCTGAAATCAAGGAGCAAAACTCAGTT